AAAAAAAAAAAGAAATAGCAACTGGATGGAAGAACAAAGGGTCCTGCAACAACTTCCATAAGTAGTTGCCAGATACAAAATCTGATGTGGTGAAAGAAAATGGTCCAAACTGAAAGTCCAATACAAGCAGACATTTGTCCAAGCAATAATAAAACCAATATTTTTTCAAATCTTTCATACTTAAAAGCTAAATGCAGCCAAAATTTGAATCTTCACTGAGATTTACTCAACCACCAAATTAATAGAACAGTCTACCACTTCATATAGATTATACACCAACATAAGATGAAGAGCTTCAAGAATATTATTGCCAGAGAAAGCAAGAACTCCTAGTCATTAACCAAAGAGCACGTGAAGCATTAGGTATTCTTTGCCAAGGTAAAAATGCTCAGTGCTTCATTGTTCTAAGAAACTATCTTTCCTGCTGCATCTTAGCAATACCCCAGTGCATAAAGTTCCTTACYGTGGGGCTAGATCTTCTTGACCAATACCAAATTCCTAGAACCAGATGTACATGATGGGTCACTTGAACCTGAATTGGTGGAGTCATAAGAATTCAGATCTAATGCCCAGTCAACCCCATTTCCACAACATCTTCTTCGTGCAACAGTAAGCCTAGTGGAAATATCAGTATCATCATTTTCATGGTTTATCCTCAGAAACTTTTCTTGTGACTTATTATCTGAGATAAAGGAGTTTCTGATTGTTTTTTCATGGTTCCCTTTGACATAGTGTTTTCTGGAAGCACTTCAGTTGTGTGAAGGCTCAAGTGGTATCCTAATGCAGTTTTCTCAGTATATTAGTACATATATTAAACTAACTTTTATAAAGTATCAGAAAGTAATCATAAAGGAAAAAACATAAAAGCAATGTCACTTTGTAAAATGCATTGCTATCTTTAAGGGTAAATGGGATCTAAAATGTAATTTGATATTGGGGTTATCAAAGAAGTAGGAATAAGTGGACAATTATTACTTTGGTAAATTACTTACACCTTCCCTGGGTTTTTGGTCAAATACCAAGACTTCCTTTGGGTTTACCTATCAAATTACCCCTTGCAGCTTGGGGTTAAGTTACTTATTCCACCCTTCTGTTAACATGATGTTGGTTTTAGTGAATGAAAGTACTAATGCAATGTGATGTTTAAAACTTTTCAGAAGTTCATTTTACCCTTTCAGGTGACTTCTTTATATTATATGGATGAAAATACCYGTCTTTATACTTTTTGAAGGGAYGGACTTTTCTCACCAAAGGCTGTAGCATTAAGGTGGGATGGGAAAAAGTTGAAAAACAGGATCAGAAAAAAGGAAGAAACACTGAGATGATAAAATTGTATTTTGTGTTTATAAATGAGGGTATTTTTGGAAACAGCCTCTCTGTATGTACAGGGGTAAAGCTGTGTACATCTGTCCCTCCCCAGACCCAGCGTTGGTGGGAGCCTCGTGCACTGGGCTGCCCTTTAAATGAGGGTATTTTTGTTAATTTCAAAAAAATATATATTCTTGGAGGCAGAACTAATACTTTTATTGTTAAGGGAACTTTGTAAAATACCTATTTCCATCTTAATTTCACCTCTTTCATTAGAAAACCCCTGCAGTTTGTGGTCAAAGGGGTATAAGTTATTTGGTAAACCCAAGGGGTGGTATAAGTATTTAAATGCATTTTTCCATAATATAATCCGGTTAGTATCAGTTCATTTCTTTCTTAAGTTTTCCTTTTGACTCTGAAACATATCAATGCAGACCGGTGTACTTGGTTTCAAGGTTAGGAGTTGTTATTGGTTTAGTTCTGCCTATAAGAAATAATAACTTTGCCGAAGTACTCATGGTTGTTTGTACTTCTATTACTTTCTCTTTGTTCATYTCTCTCAATGTATCTAACTAATAATTGCTAATTTATCTTTTCACATTCAATGATACACCTTTGTTTACTTCAAAATTTTGGATCAGGACAATTTTATGGTTGATTCATTCATTTATTTTTCTGAAGGGGATATAGAAACTCCTACTGTTAAGTATATTATGGTGGCACTACAGATGATTATATTTTAGTTTCTATTTCATTTTGTCTGATAGGATAACATCTACTACTTTGAGTTTAACAAATTATTAGTGAAACAATTTTGTTATGACCCTAAATTTTATGTTTTTTTTTTTTTTTTTTAATTTATCTTACAGTTTGAAGATTTTCATACCTATGACAATCCTTGCAATCTTAGTTCTTATTCCAGTGAACGTGTCGGGTGGAACGCTGTTTTTTCTAAGAAAAGAATTAGTAGTGAGCGACATTGATAAGCTTTCAATATCAAATGTTCAACCTAAATCTCAGAAGTAAGTTTATGTTTCTTTTATATACTGTTATCTTTTCTTAGATAATGAGAAAAACTATGTTATGACATAGTGCTATGTATAATCTTTACCTAATGGTTAGTCTTTGGGGCATAGATGGTCTGGATACAGAGATRTGTTTTAGTAATAATTCTTGTTACTGATAAAAGAAAAAACTGTGTTTCTGCATGCGCTTGATATGCTATCATGGTAAATTATACATTTTGAAACAGAAATGCTAACACTATGCATAACAAATGAATGTTTCATCTGCTCATGCATCCCTGACAGCTAATCTGGGATATTGTTATTAATTTCAGTAGTTAATTATCCAGATTGGGACACTATATTCCATAAAATTGTTGTTATTGGATGCTATGTGCATTTATTATGCATAGCATTATTATTCCCCATTTTGAAATATATAGCTGGTGTAAGGCCCACCTTGTTTTCCAGGGAAATTGGCAATATTGTTTCATTCCATCTGTTTCAAAGCCTAGCGGAATGTGTAGGCACTTAGTTGTGTTGGTATRGATTTCCATGGATATCATTATAAAATTATAAAACCAAGAGAGGAAATGTTTTGTGTCATTTTCAGATTTTGGGCACACCTATCAATGGCATATTTGTTCACGATATGGACCTGCTACATGCTGTACAAGGAGTATGGTAGAGTAGCATTTATGCGGTTGCATTATTTGGCATCGCAACCTCGGCGTGTAGATCAATTCACTGTGAGAATCTCTTAGACTTTATTTTGGTAAATAATTGTGGAATGTTTATGCATGAACTGATGCTTAAGCAGGAATAACCACATTGGAAAAAACTATGATTTGCTTGTGTCATCAATTGTAGGCTTGAATATTGAGTCAACAGGTGATCTAACATGGCTGTTTCCTGTTAAGAATTTCTGTCTGGTCACTACTCACACATTGTAGTTATTGGCAGAGTGTTTAGGTTTATTGTTATTGCATGCTAATTGGTTTATTGTGATCATTTTCTGCTTATGCTACTTGATCTTGTTATAAGTTACTCCTCTTTTTAACAACATGATTCCGGTTAGCTATTATCTCTTTGATTAATTGAAGCCAACGTTTTAGAAGGCACACATTGAAGTGCACTAGTGAGGCACATTATAAGGCTTGATTGAACCCAGGGAAAAGGCATGCACTTGGTGAGCCTAGACATGTGCTTTGGGTCACCTTGGGCCTAAGCCTAGGCACAATCCTTTTTTTTTAATTTCCTTTTTTGGTTTTTTTTTGAACATTTTTATGTTTTTACACCTTTTTAGTGGTCTATTAACTTATAAACTACCTTTTATTGGTGCACATGCACTAGTAATGATTTATTAACTGTTAAAATAAATAACAACAATGACCTTATGAACCTGAAACCCTAGTTTCTGCGGATTGGATCACATCTAGCAATAACAATACAACTGATCTCTGATTCATAACCCTAAAACAGAATGAAATGTGATTAACCAGCCCCTTTATATATATTGACCGAAATTTCAGGTTGGGGACACTGCCCCTGGCCTCTGCATGGACTTTCCAAAGGGCCCTTTCTTCCTGATCCAGGCCTGTCATCCCTTCATCTCTGTAAAAGGCTCTTATCTTCTAGGGTTAAGAATGCAATGTGTCTAACATCACTTTAGCTACTTGAAGTAATGAAATTAGGAGAAAGACAAACATGTTGAGACCTTAACATGTTTGAATTATTGATTGCTTGAAACAATTTGGTAAGATCTACATTTGTTTGCTTTCACTTTTACTTGGAGCTTGTTTTATCTGTTTTGCTTAGCTAGCATGTTTTTTAAACAATTAATTTCATTTAAAATTCTTATTGAATATAATATATGTATTAATATTTCTTTTTTATTTTTCCAAAAATATATGCCTTGCTTGCTCTGGGATCAGCCTTGCCTTGCACCTTGGGTGCTAGAAGACCCTTGCACTTTTCTTGCACTTCTCACTTTTAAAACACTGATTGAAGAAAAAGTCAATTATCTGACTGAGCTCTGATTATCTTGAAGTTTAAAATTCTAATCTTGTGCATGGTATTGTTCTGTTCATTCCTCAGGCACTATAAGGCCATTGCATTTTTCTTGTTCCTATTTCTTCTAAAACACTGATTGGAGCAAACAGAAAATGGTTTGATTGAGCTCTAGTCACGTTGAATCAAGTTTAAAATGCTAATTTTATGCATGGTATCAGTCTTTGAAGTATAAAATTTACAAKGTGAATGCACATAATAATCTTTGGATGCATTCAAAGTAGTTTAAAGAAAAATGTGAAGTATATGGACTATTATCATGATAATGATGATTGTTACAGAAATCAAGCAAACTGTTCAAGATAAGAGAGATCAACTGTCTGTTGTAGTTCACACTCATTTATATTCAGAAAATTGGTTTTCAAAGAAATCCTTCAAATTCCTATATATTTTTCTTACCAATAATTATCTCTTCCACTAAAGCTTCCATCCAACTCCAGGAAAATGGACCACAATAAATAATCCCTCTCTTACTTTAAGATACATTTCTGAGAAGCTATCATTAAAAGCTTGATGTTAGTTTGAGATAACAAATTATAGATCACTTCAAACTCCTACTCCTTGATGCATTAATGTATCCCAACCTTGTTTTTTTTTTGATGAATGAAGAAATTTATTAATTCAGAAAAAACACCACTGAAGAGGCATGAGCTGTTACCTCTTCAGAAAAGTATTACATCAAGATAAAAC